GTTTATTTATGAACAGCCTTCACCACCTCCAAGGCCTGCACTCTTTGGGGCTGTCCTTACCACACTTACCACACACCACCCATGTCCTGCTGGATTGTAAACACCTCATGAACAGGGACCTTGTAGAATCTATGTCCTCCTTAATTCCACAAAAATGTAGTGAGAACCTGCGTGCCAGGTATCCTGCTAGGCACTGAGGTTGCAGAAGAGCCGGCCCATTCTTCCCACTACCCAATTCATCCTCCTGCACCTTCCCTTGCTCCCCTTCAACCCATCCTCTATGCAGAAGAATTTAAAACATAAATCTGATTGCGTCATTTCCCTACTTTAAGCCTTCCAGAGGCCTCTATTCATTCTTAGAATGAAGAACAAAACTCTTTCATTCAGGACCTGGCCGGCCAGTGCGACACCGCGCTCCCCTCTGTGACTCCTGATTTCCAGCCCCGTCTCCCTCACTGTTTGTCTTATATTCACACTGGCTTTCTTGGAATTCCTCAGACCCCTAGGCCTTCCCCAGCCCTTGACCTGGAGTACGAGGTGCTTGATGGAAGTTAGGAATCAAAAGTTGCAAGAAGGAGAATTAAGCAAAGGAAGAAAACTGTGATGTAGGCCTGACCAAGACTGGGCTGACTTGCTGGGGAAGCCCTGGAGCATAGGAAGTGATTGGCTTTTTATGCTCTGACTTGCTCAGTCTTGATTGTGTACTTCTCCAGTTAGGACAGGACTGTGACCTCAGGCAAGACACATCTCTTTGTCCCCCCACAGAACCAGTAAGCCACTGACCTTTATCATCCTTCCAGGCCTCAGGGCAGCTCATTGACCATTTCATGGGGGAAACCTTTGTTCAGACCTCTGAGTTCTCATAAAACCCCACCCTCTTTCTCCCCAGTAGTTATCACCACCTGTGATTATCTGATTGATTTCTGCCTTCCCTAAGAAACTGTACATTTCATGTAGGCAGGGACAATCTGTTTGACTGTAGCTCTAGAACTTAGCCCAGTGCCTGGTAGGTATCTAATAAAAACTTGAATTAGAAATGAAGATGGGGGGAGGGTCAGTGGTTGGCACAGTGGTTAAGGTGCTGGACTCTCACATGGCTGACCGTGGTTTGACTCCCAGACCCAGCAGCTTGAAACTCACACCAGGTGCCCAAAATCTCAAGAGGAGAATGGAAGAGAAGAGACTGCAGCATGGTCATCTGCCCCGGTGGGTGATTTCTCACTTTCTCTCTCTCTCTCTGTTTCTCCGAGGAGCACAGAATTTCTCCCTATAGCAAGAATTTGTTTCTTAAAAAAAAAGCAATGAAGATGTGTACCTTGCAAACATACAACTCTCCCAACTGTGTGTGTAGATAAGAGCTTGCTGTGTATCTGAAGCTCTCATCCAGTTCACAGAGAGGGCATTAGAAATCATTTCAACTGGGTTTGATATTTAATATTTAGGAATCTCCTTATACCCTACCCCCAACTGGTCTACACAGCAAAATAAAACCAGAGTTCATGCTGTTACCACCATCGTCATTCCAACAACTGTCCAAAAGCCTTTTAAGGGCATACTGCATTGCAAGGGGCAGTTTACATTTCAAAACCCAGATGACAACACAAGACTGATCCCTGCATGTGTGGGCCATAGCACTGGGTTAGCACTGCTTGTGTGAGCAATAGCACTCACAATTCCTGTTCTTCACTTAATTGTGCAGCCTGATCAAGTGACTTAACTTCTGAGTGAGTTTTATTTGTAAGGTAGGAATAATATTGCCTGAAAGAAAGTGCTTTGTAAATAGTGAAGTGTGGTTTACGAGAAGGGCAGGGAGCTTTCTTCTCACACAATCCCAGAGACAGGTTGGCAAAGGACATATCAGGAACACCAACTATTTGTTTTTTACAATGATGACATGGGAGCCCACGTAAGTGAGCTGCAAGCTGGGTGTTGTTTTTGCCAGGTGTGCGAACGGATTTGTGCCTACCTCTCTAAGTCCTCCTTCCCAACCAATCAGGGGCAGAGACTGCAGGAAGAACATAGCGCACCGACCCCATGGTTAGACAGTGAGGGATTGCGTTTACATCATATACAGGTCAAGGTTAAGCATATTTTATAGGTGAATGGGTTGTTTGCATGTCTCCCCACAGAGTGGGTGATAACACTGAAGGCAGTGGAGTACTCAGTGGAGCTAAGCCTATTGTGGAAGAAGCTTTGTTTGTTTTCTTGTTTGCTATAGGGTGCTTGCACTCTCCAGAGAGAGAGAGAGAGAGAAAGAGAGAGAAATCATCCCCCAACGGAGATGGCCACAATCCCTTCTCCTTTACTCTCCTCTCAGGGTTTCAGCATGCATGCACATGTGCCCAGTGTGATTTTCAAGTCACTGGATCTGGGACTTGAACTGTGGAGTTGGCCATGTGGGATCCAGCTGCCTTAACATCCACACCATCTGTTGGCCCCATGTGAGAGAATCTTTTACCTGGAGACTAACTACCTAACCACTGGACAAAAACTGGGGAAAGGAGAGAATATAGATGGAGGTGCTGTGGGGTGAAATAAGTAGATGAGAAGTCCAAATAACTTTTCAGGGCCATTGGTGAGGCAAACCAATTTGCTAACATAGAAGTGCTCAGAAAGGCTCAGCCCATGTTAGCATGTACTTGAAGAGGCTGAGGCCACCTGAGAATGTTCCTGGTCTGTGTCCAGAGACCTCCCTTTGTATGTTGGACACATGCATGCTTGTTATCCAGAGCTGGGTGGGAGTGGATTGTGGTATTAAGATCCTGCTGGGGTGCTGTCTCCCTCTTTGTGGGAGTACACTCATGTTAGAAAGCAATTAAAAACAAAAACAAAAAAACAGCTGTAGTCCCAACTACTCTAAAGGCTGAGGCAGGAGGAGTGAGACCCTATCTAAATTAAAACAAAGAAAACAAAACAAAAAACAACTCAGAGGTATCTTTGACTTCTGTTGTTCTCCCCACCCCATTAATATATTTATTTACTCAAAGTATCAATATCTTGACAAGGGTGAACATGCTCAAGGTATCAATATCTTGACAAGGGTGAATGCTAACAACACAGATTAGCCAAACTTCAGCCTTTACAAAATTACCTTGTTGAACTTTCTCCATGGCCCCATAAGATAGGTATTGTTTTCCTCATTTTACATATGGGGAAACTAGACTTAGGAAGGCTAATAATGGGGCCAGCGGGTAGCATGGTGATTGGGGCACTGGACTCCCACATGATTGACCACAGTTCAAGCCCTGGACCTGGCGGCTTGCTTTCTTACTCTCTAGTGAATTTAAAATAATAATTTTTTTAAAAGAAAGACTAATGACATGCTCAAAGTCACACAAGTAGCAAGTGGCTATACACAACTATATTAGAACCCAGATCTCCTGCTACCTTCTCCTTTCCACTGCTGTTTATTAATTACCTTCTGCCCTCAACTTTCACAAATCCTAACTTGTGTGTTCATGAGGTGTGGGAACTATGGGCTGTTTCTGTGGCTGAAAACACCTAGACTCGAGTTTCCAAGATGGGAGCTTAATCCAATTTATTTTGTAGATGGAGAATCTGAGGCCAGCAAAGAGGAATGATTCTTCTCCTCCACTCAGTAGGTTTTGGGGTCTCAATTAGACCCGTGTGTTCTGTTCTAATTCTTTCTACCAACCCACACCACCTCCTAGTCTTACCCTGCACTTGCTCTGGGTGAACCAGAAAGCCTTTTGCCTGGAAGATACCTTTGCCAAAAATAACAGTTATTCTGTGCTGAGCATTCATCTTTCAACAAATATTTACAAACTGCCTACTATGGGCCCCGAACTATCAAGAGAATCAATGAACAAGAAAAACACTGTCCTGCCCTTCTAGAGTTTACATAGTTAATGGGAGGTGGTAGACCATGACTCAGTAAAAAGTATCTAAACAAGATCATTTCAGTGCTATGAAGGACATAAAACGGGAGTAATAAAGGGGGGTGGGAGAGCGCTTCAGAAGAACTGAACAGGAAAAGCCTGACCACCTAGTATATGGTCCTCTAATTCTCATAAGGGCACCTGGTAGACGGTCTTTTAATTCCCACAGCAACCCTTGAAGGCTGTGGACAGATCGTTTTGCTGACAAGGAACCTGACGTTCAGGAGGGGTCAGAGTGGCAGAGGTAAGTCGCAGACTCTTAACCCCCACTTTCTACCAGTCGCGCTGAGCTGCACCGTCAAGCCGTGGATGATGAAACTCCGGGCGAAGCCTGCACCATCTCGTAGCCTGTGTCCTTGCAGGTGTTGGGAAGAGGGTGGAGGAGGGCGGAACGCACCTCCAGGAGAAAGCGGCAAATAGCTCTAAACTAGCGGAAGGGGCAGCAGAGGACGGCCCCTGCCCCGCCCGCGTCCAGCCTTCGTTCGGCCCCAGTCTGGCCCCCGTCTGGCCCCCTCCCAGCTCTCCGTACCCTCTCGGTGGACAAAGAGCCCGCCCAGCCTCTGGCACAGCCAGACAACCCCTCCCGCCTCCAGCCCGGCCCCCGTCCAAGCCAGCGCACTGCACTATGGGACTTGTAGTTCATCAACCTCCTTGCAGGGGCACTGGAACGGCCAGCAAAACTACAAGGCCCAGGAACCAGCGCGCAGGCCCGGGGCGGGCTCGCTGCCAGTGGGTGTGCGAGCGCAGGGGCCCGGGTGGTGCGGGCGCCCGGCGCGGGGATGCGGCTGTGGGCGCTGGATCTCGGGAGCATTTCCAGGAGCGCGCTCTAGCCCGGCGCGGCGAGGGCCAGCCAGGCGGCGACAGGCACGTTGCATGCAGGCATTGGGCGCAGCCTTTGCAAAACCCGCGGCGCAGCGCTTTAGCGCTGCAGTGGCGCGGTGGAGGGTCCCAGTCGCCGGGGGATGGGCTCCCAGCCCCAGAGACAGGCTGGCACCGCTGGCTGAAGAGCTCTTGACTGGGCTAGTGGTGGGGACGGGTGCCCGCTTTGGGCAGCGCACGACGTGTTTTCTCTCTTTTTGTACCAAGATTTCTCTCGGCAGGCGCGCGATGCATCGGGCGGGGCTGCTGCCCCGGGCCCCGGGCTCCGGGCCCCTTCGGCCGCAGTCAGAGCAGTGCGGCCGCGGAGGCCTCAGCTATGCTCAAGGTGCGGCCCGAGCGCAGCCCACGCGAGCGCATCCTCACGCTGGAGTCCATGAACCCGCAAGTGAAGGCGGTGGAGTACGCGGTGCGGGGACCCATCGTGCTGAAGGCCGGCGAGATTGAGCTCGAACTGCAGCGGGTGAGCGCGGGCTCCAGGCCAGTGGGTGGGAGGACCCGGGGAGTCCTCGGGCACCGATGGACTCCCTAATGGGGTTGGCCGGGCGAACTTGTCCGCACATCCCCTTGGCCAGCTCCTTGATTCAGCCAAGGGTGACTAAAACAACAGAATGCCCCCCACCTATCCCTTCACCCACCAGCGCCTGGCACCTGGCACAAAGTAAGGCCTTCAGATACGGTTCACTTGTTGACTTGAATTCGTGGATCATTGAGCGGCCCATGCTGTCCGGCACTGCCGTTTGTGTGTCTGTCCTACCCTCGGAACCAAGAGTCATTAGAGGGAGGAAAACAGAGAACGGAAAAACAAAGAGTTTTAGATTGTGAATGAGTGCTTTGAAGAAAGTAGAAAGGAGAAGAAGGGGTGGAATGGGAGTGATTGTTGGGGGAGGTGGCCCACTCGAGGTAGGAAGATCTGAGGGGAGCTGGGTTTGTTCCCATAGCTTTTTCACTATGTCTGACACCCTTGGGGTGGTCACCAGTCATGATTCCCTGACAGGAGCCGGGGTGTAGAGGAGGTCGGGCAGAATCCTTTCTTTAGGCTCCTCCACAACCTCGACTGACCGGCCAGCTCTTCTCTGTCCAGAATAGTCTTTAGGGGAGGAGTCAGGATTGGGTGTTTTGGAACTTGATAAGGTTGCCCTGAGACTTCTATTGCTTTGGGTGAATGGCTGGAATTGTGGGTGGAATTCATAGCTGCATGTAAAGTGACCAGAGTCAGGAGTGTTTTCTGCCTCTCCATAACCAGGGTGGCCAGGGTGGGTGTAACAGATGGCCCTGAAGGATACCAAGTTGTAATGTGGGTAGAATTCAGGAGCAGTCAAGTGGGGTTATCTTAAAAAGTAGAGTCCTAAAATTTGTAAAAAGCATATGAAATAGTCACCCAGCTGCTCATCAGAATATTAGGTCGGCAGAAAAGTTATGTCATATTTTTCTATGCAATAATGCGTCATGATTTTCCTGATTACCTAAGAATTCTGACCCACAGTGGAGGTAAGGGGAGGGTTCCTCGACCTCACTCCCAAAGGCACCAGATCCCCATGTATCAGGGTCACTTAGTGTACCTGGAATGCATGGGAAGAAGCCTTGAGGGAACCAGGACCCTTGGCCCCATTCCCATGGGGACTTTGGGCATTTGATGAGGTGGTGGCCTGCTGAGACTTTGTTGGGACATCCTGTTCTGCTGACTCAAAAGAGTGACCTGGGCAAGTCAGAGTCCAGTGTCTCCGGCCGACTCCTTGCAAGGCTAAGTTTAAAGCTTGGCCCAGAGCAGGCTGGCTCCAATTCTGTGCCTCCCTGGCCCAAGGTGGATTGGGGGCAGAGAACAGGGGGTTTAGCGTCTCCTTCTTGATATTTGGCAGGCCAGATGGGGCTGCCTCTCCCTGAGGCAACAGTCTCCCTGCTAAAACAAAGCAGGAATTAATTTTTCACTTTTCACCTGATTTCCCTGGTTTCAGAGCTGCCAGGAGTTCCAGGAATTACTTTGTTAAATAGCGACTTCCGTGCAGACACTGTGAAATATGAAGATGGGGACAGAGGGCGCCTTGTCTGCCTTCGGGGAGCTTACATATTGTTTGCTGGGCCTGAGACCCCCATCTCCCAATTCTTTAAGGATTGGTGGGGTTTTGTATCAGGCAGAGAAAACATGAGAGCACTCCCAGTGGGAATAGTGCTATGAGCAAAGGTTGGGAAGTTCTGGGCATTTGAGAAAAGGGGTTGGTGGACTGTCTGGCAGAGGGACGTGGGACGTGAAAGAGATGGGAAAGTTGAGCTGGAGTCCTTTGGCGGGGGACTCAGGACTTCATGGTGCATTTTGATAAGAAGTAGGAAACCAAGGAGAGTTTCCAGCAAGATGTGATTTGATGATTGTAGGTGGGCAGATTTCTTGATCATCGGGCCAGAGGCATGCTCTGATTTCTAAGACAGGTGCTCCTTAGCCCCGTGCCCTACCCCCAAGTTAGTTGAAAAGTTCTGTCTGTCCACCTCTGGTGCTTTAATTCAAGCTTGTCCCTCTTTCTCTCTCACTCATTGAGTCTCGAGTCTCGGTGCTGGAGACAGAGCCCCAGCCAGGCCCGTATAACCTCACTTAAAGCTGTCATTTTCAGGAGATGGCCCCTTTTCCTTTTGCCAGTTTAAGTAATGCCCCTTCTGAAAGTAGAATGTCTTCCCAAGCATTCCTTTTTATTTGTTTATTTTGTCTTGCCTTGGCTTTGCACATTTTCAGCTTTTCTACATCTGTTTTGAAGTAGTGATCAGAATGGGACTGGTATAAGGGGTTCCATTTGGTTATAGATGGGATGGGATAGGATTTGTAGGCAGCAGGGTGCCCTGGGGTGACTCTTAGATTCTCTCAGGACCTTGGTTTTTCTACTTTATAAAGGAGAGAAGTGCCCTAGCTATCTCAGGGGTCTTCTCTACACTGAGTTTTGTTCCTCTTCGTCCATGTGAAAGTGTCCTGGGGAACCTGAGATGGCCCTGGTAGTACCAAGGCCTTTATATTGCCTCATGGTGTCGTTTCACCAGGTGCTCTGCAAACAGTGCAGCTGTTTGGCTGGACACGTGGTTCTGTTGTTTGACTTTGGGGTGGCTTTTCTGGCTGAGTCCCCGTCCGTTTTGCTTCTCCTGCAGGAAACCCTGAAGGAGGAGGGGAGGTGGCCAAGGGATGTGAAAGGGGCCATTCTCCTTCAGTTCCAGCTGTGGGTTCTCAGGGAGGCCCTGTTCTCCCTGATAGCAGCTCCAAGGGAGAAAACCTCTGCCAGCTTCTCAGATCCTTGTGTTGGTTGGAAGTAGCACTTAAAAATAAGCCGCAATTAAAAGGAGTTTGAAAAGATCTGACAGTTCTTCAACCTACTTCTTTTCCCCTTGTTTTATTGGGGGCAGGGGTTGGGGGTTGGTACAAGGCAAGACAGAGAATGGCCTTACTTCTTCCAGTTACAAAAGTACACACAGTTGGGTGAAACATTCAGAAATAGAAGGGAAGGTTGATTACGACTGTTTAACATCATTGTGTGTTGTATCCAAACAGGTAAAAAGGAGGGTATTATAGCACAGGGCTATAGTTAGCCAAGAACTAGAATGAGAAATCCTGGGTTTGCCAAGCAAAGGTGGTGAAATCTCACCAGTCCTTTTCTATAGAGTTTAGATGCTGCTTTAAAATAAATAAATGTGTAGTGTAGGCTTCCAGTGGGATAAACCCTCCACCTGTATACTCTGCCCAAGTCATCTTGGACCTATATACTGGGCTCTGCCTTTGTCATGCTGTGGGCTTCAGGCAGATCTTCAGTTTACTTTTCCACAATTGGAGGCCAATTTATTTCTTCTTTTTTTTTAAGAGAGATTTTTGCTCTAGGGTGTGTATGCTCACCAGAGACAGAGAGACAGAAAGTGAGAAATCACCCACAGGGGGATGGCCACACTGCAGTCTCTTCTCCATTCTCTTCTTGAGATTTTGGGCATGCACATGTGCACACCTGGCATGAGTTCTAAGCCACTGGGTCTAGGACTAGAACCGTGGTCAACCATGAGGGAGTCCAGAGACATAACCATTATGCCATCTGCTGGTCCCCCATTTTATTTCTTCTAAAGACTATTAATAGTTTGAGATGGTAATGATAGTGTTTTGGACAGCAAGAAGCCAATTAGAACTGTCAAGAGTCTTTGTTCTCGAGTTAATAGGAAGTGCTGAGAGTCCCTTTTTCCGAGTCTCTCCGAGTCTGGGAACATGTTCTATGAGGGTTGACTCCTGCCAGGACCTCAGCTTTGCTGCCCTGAATTATCCTGTTTGGAACTCAATTCAGTTTTTATCCCTGCTTCTACTCTGCAAGTCTTGGCTTCTACAGCTGACTGTCCTGTCAACTTCAGAGTTCAGGGCCTATATCCAGCCTTCCCTGCTGCTTCAGTGCTTAGGAAACTCAGCCCATGGAACTCTTAACTAATCCCTAAGTCATGGATTTATGTAATTGTGGTTCCGATTTCATCCAGCTTTGCTTATCTTTCCATTTCAGAGCCACGAATTTTGCTAAGCCTGTTTCCTTATTTGTGAAATATACCTGTTTTCAGGGACCATGGGTCTAGTTGAGGTTTGTCTCTGGGCCTTTTTCTGGAGTTCCCTGGGTCTTCCTGCCTGCCCTACTCCCATTCATTGCTTTTTGGGGTCAGGAGGCTCAGCTCCTTTTCATGTGAGGCTTCTGGGGCCTGTGTATCCTCTCTTCTACCCCCTGCCCAGACCCTTCCCCATCTCTACTTCTTATTCTTCACCAGCCTGAGCTCTGAAGAATGGTGGCTTTGTGTTGCTCATTCTTTTTTTTTTAAAGAATTATTGTAATTAACTTTATTTATTATTATTATCATTATTATTTTCCAGTTTTGATCAGAGAAACATATAGAGAAAGAGAGAGAGAGAGAGAGAGAGGAAGTGAGAAAGCAAGCCACCAGGTCCGAGACTTGAACCGTGGTCGGCCATGTGGGAGTCCAGTGCCTTTAACCACCATGCCACTTGCCGGCCCCTGTGTTGCTCATTCTTGTCACCTAGGCATGGATGATCAATAAGTATTTGTTAAATGACAAGGAAGTTATCTGGGAAGTAACCGTTATATATGTGTGTATGTGTATACATATATACATACATACAGATATGTATGTATATATGTGTATGTGTGTGTGTATATATATATATATATATATGAAGGCTGATTAGTACACACACACACACACACACACACATATTTTCTATCTGTTGATAGACATATAGGTTGATTCCATATCTTGACTATGGTGAATAATGCTGCAGTGAATAGGGGAGTACAGAAGTCTCTTCAATATACTGATTTTATTTTTTTTGGATATGTACCCAGAGCAGAATTGCTGGACTGTATAGTAGTTCTGTTTTTAATTTGTTGAGGAATCTCCATACTGTTTTCCATAATAGTTGTACTAATTTATATTCCCACTGACAGTATGTAAGAGTTCTCTTATCTCCACCCCCTTCACCAACATTTAATTTTTGACTTTTTGATAACAGTCATTGTGACAGGTTTGAGTTGATATTGCATTGTGATTTGGATTTTCATTTGATTAGTGATGTTGAGCACCTCTTTCATATAGTTGTTGGCTGTTTGTATGTCTTTTTTGGAAAAATGTCTGTTCAGATTCTGTGAATTAATTGGGTTGCTTTTTTTTTTTTTTCGCTATTAAGCTCATTATATATTTTGGATATTAACCCCTTATCAGATGCATACTTTGCAGATTTCCCATTCTGTAAGTTGCTTTTCATTTTGTTGATTATTTCCTTTGCTGTGCCCTGTGAGTGCTAGAATCATGCTGGACCTGTGGACTGGGAAGAGCAGTGATAAATATTTTTCTTCTTTTTCCCAATACCCCCTGAAATATGCTGTCCCAGAACCTAGAGCCTATTCCTCTGACTCCTACTTGAGCTGAAGTGGTGGGAAGGGAGCCCTTCTTGGGTAGGACTGTCCCTCATTGCTGCATATGGAGGCAGTTGGGTAGGATGTGTGCAGGTGAATTAGACAGGTGGGCTCTAGAATGCTGTGAGAGCAAATCAGGATGCTATATGCTTGTTAGTCCTTCTGACCTGTCAGGGCCCTGAGGGCTGGGTTGGGGTGAGGTTACCATTGGGTGTAACTACCAGGCCTAGACAAGTCATGATTGACAGGAGTCTCCCACAGCTTCCTTGGTGTTTCCCAATCTATTTAGACCTGGACTGCCCAGATACAGGAGACAACCCACAACAGCTCCCTTTGTGTGGTGGCTCTTGGCTGGGCAGGCTGGTGTTCCTGCCCATTCATAGGAGCCAGTTTTTCACTCCCTAGGTCATCCATCATAGCAAAGTGTCTAGGGTCTGCAGGCACCCAGACACAAGAAAGGAAATGCTGAAAGTTCCCAGGCTCTATGTCGGCGGGCCCTGAATTGAGTGAGCAATACCAGGGGAGGGCACAAGAAAGGAACATCCAGAGCTCTGTTCCAGGCATTATTCTCTCCTTGTATGGGGCTGGCTCAGGCTTGCATGGCAGATGTGTATTGGTTCGTGGCCCTCACAATTGTGTGACAGATTTACTTCTTACCAATGAATGAGATGTTCCCACATCACAAAAGTCACCTGTGTTCAGCTAGCTAGGCCTGGGAACTGTGGCCGTTTGGTCAGGCTAACTAGAGGTCCCATGCCAGGAGTCCAGGCCAGTGCCAGGGGGTGAGTCAGGCCCACCCCTTTGCACACAGTGGCTTGGGTAGCTATCTTCACCCCATCCTTCTTGATTCCTGTTGTAGGGTGAGCTGTAGGCCACGTGCCTGCAGCCCAAGTTTCTCTG